TTGTCAGAATCTTTTCTACTTTACCACATAAAGGAAACAGACAAATCATTTCAGCACCTTTACCCAAAACTGCACTTATATGCAGAATATAGGTCAAAAAAGATTGCTCCATGAGAATTTCAGGATATGTTGTCTCCTGCTTGTAGATTTAGTCTTAGTCTTCGGAACATATTCCTATTATTTCTTTAAAAGTTCCTTATGTAATAAAATGATTTTTACACATCCTATGCCATTTAATCTTAAAATGAAATTAGAGCTAGGCACCAGTATCTACACATCTGTAATCTTAGCTACTGGAGAGGCTAAGATCAGAGGCCCCAGGATTGAAGCCAGTCTAGGAAAGAAAGTATTTATGAACTTCATCTCCAAACCAACTAGCAAAAAGCCAGGCTGGTCAGGCACAAGTGGCTCCTACTCAGGAAGCTGAGATCTGACGGTCATGGATCAAAGCCAGCCCGTGTAGGAAAGTCTATGAGACTCTTTATCTCTAATTAACCACAAAAAACAGAAGTGGCTTAAGCAGAAGAGCACCAACCTTGAGAAGAGAGAAAAAAAAAGCTGAGTTCAAGCCCGAGGGCTAGCACACAAAAAAAGCCAGGCTGGAGGCATGGCTCAAGTAACAGATTATTGAGGAAAGCAAGCTAGCAAATACAAGGTTATGAATTCAGCACCATAAGAAAAAAAATAGAAAACTAAATTGATGAGTTATATTCCTCAACTGCAGGATTACAAGATAAGGAACACACTTCAAGAAGTTGAGCAGGCTTGCCCAAAGAGAAATTGAGATCTGCCCAAAGGTTATTATGACCCTTTTCAGACAGTTTCCAAACTATCTGGATATCAGTATCAACTGGAAGATTGTACATAGAAATTCCTAGGTTCTGTCTTCCTAGGTCCTGTCTCATTTCCCAATAAATGCTCTGGTAAGGGTACCATCAGTTCCACAGGTCCATATAGGTAGCCTCCATCATCTGCTATTTGTGGTTTGTTTTTGTTTTCTAGGTGGAATTCAGCCAAGAAAAGAAACAAAGTCAATTTTCCAAACCAAGGAAAAGATGAATAGTATAATAAATTGATAGCTATTTTCCTTGAGGTACCTCTTACCTCCTTTCTGAAGTATCGTTTCCCAAATGATTTTTTTTAAGCAGCAGAAATTGAGAAACTGAGAGTCCAGGAGTGTGGGGAAGTTACGGAGGAGGCATTCTATTTAAAGAGCTTGCTGAATTCCATGGAGTACATACCCTCACCATAGCTAGTTTCAAACTACTGATGATGCAACAACCTGCTCACAAAATTCCCTAATATCTAATGATGGGCATAGGAGCCAGTTTCACATACTACTGAGTACAGAATATAAAGAAAGGTAATTGAGCAATTCCCTGGAATTTTCTAAATCATATGAACTCTCATCACTTTACCTACTGGCCTCAAGTTCCAATTTTCAAAGGCAGAGTCCTCTAAGTCCAAATTTCTCCCGAATATTTCCAAGAAATGCTCTGATAAGGGTCTAGGGCATGATGAAGTCATGGGTGTGACCAGCAGATGAGCTCTTGGTAGAAGAGAAATGGATACCCCTTTGAGGGCTGCTCTTTCAATCTCCCGCCATGTGGCCAGGGCTAGGATAGGGGAGCTGCCCACTGCCTAAGAGCACCTGAGTGGAAATGCAACTTTACTCTGAGTCTAAGGGCAAAGGAGTTGGTCTTTCTGTGCCTTTACTCAAGAAAAATGATATCTTTAGTGGTCAAGGTCAGCACTACCAACCACATAGAGAGACCCCTGGCCTGCTTTCAATCCATGTGGTAAGCTAAAGGGGCAAGCTATTATTAGACACAGTGGGGATAACTGTTCAACAGCAGAATCTGCTCCTTTGCCTGGAGTACCTTTTGTGCATCCTAATCACCTTGGGAGATGGAGTAATTATGGAAGATAACTAGTACTGGGACCCTAATACCTTAACATGACTACTACCCAGCATGGGTCAAAGTACTAAATATACTCCAAAACCAAATGTAAACCATTCTAGGATCATCTTCCACTTTAGTTTGTTATTAGCTTATTCAAATCCAAAAGCAAGACAAATATTTTTTGGCTGTCTTCTATATGCACATACAACAAAGGTACATACTGTATGATTTCGTTTCTTGGGTAGGCAACCTCCATATGGCTCTACAAAAGGACAAACTTGCTTTGCATACTGATTCACTTTCATTCTGGTTGAGCTCATGTGTATAATGATTCCGTGTCTACATTCTATTTTCCTAAATAGAAAGAGTAGGTAGTTATTTGCCTAGAATGCAAAGAAAAGAAATCAATTCCAAAATGATTCAACCAGAGAGAACTGAATCAAGTGGGCTCACTTTCAACAAGTTACAGAGGAGGTAGCATGGGTAGATTTTGAGTCAGACCTAGATTTGATTCACTGAAATAGTGGGTCATCTAATCTACTTCCCAACCTATAAAACCTAATATTGGTTTAAATTGTATGGTAACATTTCCTACCATGTATCAAGCATCATGCTCTTTATCTGAATTATTAACCTAGTGGGTGAATAAATTCACATGAACACCAAAACAAGAAAATGACTCAAATATATTGTGTTAACTGAAAGACGGACATATTTATTTCATTTCTGTAAAATTTTTCCAAGTTAAAATTCCTCACAGGAAGATTCCATGGCTGCCTTGGGGACCAAGGGAACCAAGAGTGGAAGGACAGATTGATTACAAAGGGAAATTAGGAAATTTTTAAGGTGATACAAATATATTGTGATTGTGATATTGCTTTCACAGGTATGTACATCTGTCCAAACCCACTGGGCTATAATTTCATAACTATTTCTATTTTCTGTACTAAGTATGCCTTAATGAAATTGACAAAAAATGAACTAACAAATTCAGTATCAAAATACAAGCAAATCCCATGAAACAATTCTCATGTTACTAAGACTACTTCCCTATCAACTCAAATTCATGTCCTTCCAGTTGCTCTTCTAACACAAATGATGGAACAGTAATATTGATAACTCTAAGTCCCTGTGCTATTAAGATGCAACGGTATTTCAGAGTTAAATCATCATACAGAGTAGGACATGACCTCGCCACATGAAAACCATACCCTAGGGGCTGGGAAGGTGGCTCAGTGGTAGAGTGCTTGCCTTGCATGCCTGAGGCCCTGGGTTCAATTCCTCAGCACCACATAAGCAAGAAGGAAAAAAAAGCCGGAAGTGGCGCTGTGGCTCAATTGGTAGAGCGCTAGCCTTGAGCTGAAGAGCTGAGGGACAGCGCACAGGCCCAGAGTTCAGGCCCCACAACCAGACCCCCCCCAAAAAAAACCCACCTAAATCCAGTTCACACCTGGTAAATCAAGTTCATGTGGCTCACTCGATTCACTAGAATGGATATACCCAAATATCAGTCTGCACTGTACCAGACATCAAGTGGTCAGCCACTGAACTGTCCCAACCAATTTATTTGGTGACCAATTTCTGAGAAGAGTAATGCCTATCTCTAAGCTTACTAAGGATGGCAAACTTTCACCTAATTATGTAGCACATTTATTCAGAAGCTGTGCTCCAAAATCCAATTACTAATTCCAAATTTTTTATTTCCATTTATGGTGCCCCTAATATTTTTAGCCATCAATTTTAAAAGGTCAGTGGAATGCAGATGAATATTTGTACACCTACAATCTAGTACTTTGGACTAGTGATTTCCAAAAGTACTTTTGACAAAACAAGCACTTCAGAATGAATTGTCCACTTGTTTCCTCATCAACAGGCATTGATGTCTGTATTTTATCTTAACTACTACATTAGTTGCCTTTCTATCATTGGAATAAAGTACTGAAGAAAAATCAACTTAAAGGTTTATTTTGACTCATAGTGACAGGTTTCAGTCCATGGTCAGCTTTGCATTGTTCTGGGTTAATGTCATGACATGATATCATGGCAGAAAGCTCATAGGAGGATAAGGTTGCTCACTTCATAGTAGCTAGGAAGCAGAGATATGCACAAAGGCAGGGGCCAGGCACAAAATATACCTTAAAAAAGGCATATTACAAGGGCTAGGAAAGTGGCTCAGTGGTAGAGTGCTTGCCTCCCATACATGGGTTCAATTTCTCAGCACCACATAAGCAGAAAAAGCCAGAAGTGGCGCTGTGGCTCAAGTGGTAGAGCCTAGCCTTGAGTTGAAGAGCTCAGGGACAGCACCCAGGCCCAGCGTTCAGGTGCCACAACTAAAAAAAAAAAAAAAAAAGGCATACCACTTCATCAGCTTGGGAGGCCCCAAGAGTTTCTACACTTCCAAACAGTGACATCATCTGAGGACCAAACTTCCTAGGAAGAAGTTTTGGATGGACATTTAAGATAAAAAGTACTTTCTATGTGCCCTCATACATATATTCTATGATAGCTTTTATAAAACCTGCATTTTTTTAGAAATTTAAATTTACTGTGAAGATAATAATTCAACAGTTCTCATAAGAAATATAATTAAAGCAGGGTGCCAGTGGCTCACACCTGTAATCCTAGCCTAGTTAGGAGACTGAGATCTGAGGATTGCTGTTTGAAGCCAACCCAGGCAAGAAAAGTCCGTGACTCTTATCTCCAATAAAATATTCAGAAAAAGAGGGAAGTGGTGCTGTGGCTCAGGTTGTAGAGCACTATCATTGGCTCAGGGCTCAGGGACAGCATCCAGGTCCTGATTTCAAGCCCCAAAACCAGAGGGGAAAAAAAAGAATTATAATAAAAAGCTTGCATTAAATTCTAAAATATTTAGAGTGCTTTGAAAATTCTAAATGTGTCCTACATTTCTGACAAATATTAGACTAAATGTCATTTCATTTTGATAGCTGCTAAAGTAGTATAGCTTTTGATTAATTAGTAATAAGTAGAATGCTTCTAAAAACAATTTATTCCACGCAATAATTTTCTGCAGAAGCAAAACATACACATTCTTGATCATTTTTATTTCAAAATGTCTACAAAGTTTTAATTCTCCACTGTACATTTTTCAAAATCCAGACATTATTTAAATATAAGCCAAACTTATTATACAAATAGATTACACACAAAGATCAAAAATATACATATTCTCAGTAAATTGTTACATAAATAAGAAAAATATATTCAGCTGATATTTTCAAAGTACAATTATCTTAAATAACACTGCAACCATAAACAGAAGGGGAGAACAAATACTAAAGCAAAAGCTCAAAATAAAAACAAATCATTTTAGTAGGAGAAAAATGAGGGTGGGAGTAACAAGTTTGACAAGAAATGTACTTATTACCTTACTTATGTGATTATAACCCCTCTGTACATCACTCTGACAATAAAAAATCATTTTATGGCATCTATAATTGTAAAAACATAGGGCCAAGATTCAGGGAATAGATACTCCACACTTGAATTTTAATTTTTACTCCATTTTTTCTCTTCAGATTCATCTCTGGAAGGATAAAATTCATAATTCTACCAGTTATCTTTTACAACTAATCCCAAAGACAGAGCATGTGAAGAACTATTTCATCTATGCCTTTGCATTTTGGGATAAATATAAAAAAGAATTTTTTAAGTCAAACTTGTGTAAGCCTGTGTTAAGAATTTCCAGGTAAAATGAACTATTGAAAAAATTTATGTTGGAAATGTCAGAAGAAAACTAACTCAAAAATCTTAACATGGTGAGCAAAAAAAATTTCCAAGAGTTTCCTTAGAGAAAAAGAAGTCAGCTAAGTTTATGTTTTGCCCCAGAAATTCTCCTTCCTCTTTTGTGCTCGTGCCAGAGTTTGAAAAGCCCGGAGACTAGTAGCCACGGAGCGAGCAGAAATCTCAGACAATCTGTCTTCATCTGTAATGAAATAATCCCAAAATTATGTTCAGTGCAAAAACATCTACTAAATAAACACTGCATCTAATATAATAGTAATAGAAAATCAGTCATCAAGCTTTGCAATATCAATGTTCGTCAGAAAAAAAAAAGCAATCTATTAAAGGTAAGGTATTAACATTTTGTGATAGCTCATGGCAATTCCCCAAGTTTACCATATATAGATATCAAACACTTTAACCTAAGCAAGCTTTTTTTTTCTTCCTGAAATCCCATGTCATTTACTAAATGCAGCCTATGATTTCAGCATTTCTTGGAAACAATTCATCATGATACTGACTTGTCCTAGTTTCAAAAGCACAGCTAAATTGGGGTGAAACTGTTTCTAAACTTTTTTAAAACATTTTTTAAAATATTGGACTCAAGCTGGGGTGCCAGTAGATCACATCTAAGATCTATGGATAGCAGTTCAAAGACGGCCCAGACAGGAAAGTCCATAAACGTATTTTTTTTGGTCAATCGTAAGGCCTGAACTCTGGGCCTAGGCTGAAAAGCTAAGGGACAGCGCCCAGGCCCAGAGTTCAAGCCCCACAACCGACCAAAAAAATATAAAAAGATGTATTGTACTTATAACCTGACTTGTGAAACTGAAACTCCTTTGTACAACTATTTAGAAAATAATAAAAGGTTAAAAAATCATGTAACTTTTAATATACTTATAGAATAATCTTACTAAATGTAGAAATAATGTCTGACTTTAACATGCTATACTTTGCTATCACTTTATTTCCTCATTCTGAAAATGCAAATCTGTTATAAGATTTTTAAACATTGCTGGGCACCTGTGGCTCACACCTATAATATAGCTACTCAGGAGGCTAAGATCTGAGGATCGCGGTTCAAAGCCAACCCAGGCAGGAAAGTCTGTGAGACTCTCTTCTCCAATAAACCACCATAAAACCAGAAGTGGCACTGTGGCTCAAGTGGTAGAGTGCTAGCCTTGAGCTGAAGAGCTCAGGGACAGTGCCTAGGCCCAGAGTTCAAGCCCCACAACTGACAAAAAAGAAAAAAACATATAAGCATTGTTCTTCCATTTAAAAGAAAAATAAGTGGATTAAGAATTGCCAGATATTTTGTATTTCAAAACAACTTAATTTCTAGTTCCCTAACTACTGAGGAAAAAGTCCCAAACTGAGTAAACTTATAACATATGAAGTATTAAAATCAAATTTATTTCCCTATTTCAAAATAAGTTCAGTAATTCTATACTTCTTACGATAAATCAATACAGTAATTTTGACTGTTGACATCAAGAATTCAAAATTCCTCCTGCTGCTTTTAGAAGCAAATTTATCAGGAAGAAAACTGCACAGAAGGAAAAACTGCATTTCCCTAATTATATATTTGTTTGAGGACTGAAAATTGGTAAGAGTAGCGGCATTTAATAAAAACATGAATGTACTGGTAGGCCAAATTCCTGAGCCCCAGGGAGACAGGTGGAAGTGGAGCACTGGCCTCTGCCAGGTGAAGAGGAGGCCAGGAGAAGCCAGGCAGTCTCTTGCCATGTTTGCCCCAGAAATGGTTCTTCACCACATGGGTCCCAACAAGACTCATTTGTAAAATGGGAATGATTTTACCCCATTACAAAGTCTTAAGGATCTAATGAGAAAATATCCATGGGAGTCTTCTTTATAAAATGCTAATCGAATGTAAGATCATAAATCTAATATAAACTACCAATAACAGAACCTATTTTTATCTTAGATGACTATTAAAATACCTTCATTGTGAAAGGCTTCATGTGGAGGTAACTGGGAATTGTTCATCCTGGCTTTTCCTACTTAAAAACAAAAAAGCAGAAGAAAATAATCTTTCAGAGTCGCCAAACATCATGCATTACTAGTATAACTCGAATGTCTGTCCCTCCAAAATTCATGGTGAGATTGAACTGCCAGTGAGATGGCACTGGGAGTTCCTGAGGGGTCCGCCTTCAAGGACAGACTAATGCCATTATCACATTTCTTTTACCTTCCCTCTGTTCTTTTGCCAAGAGATGACAGCAACCCCTCCATCTTGCATTTCCCAGCCTCCAGAACCAAGAGCCAAGAATTGGTCTGTTCATGATCAATTACCTACTCTCAAATACTAAGTACAATAAACTTCCTGAAGGTAAACGATCAGAAATGTTATTAATTTAGTAGCTCAATGAAAATAGCCATTCATGGGTATTTAATGGACTTAGCAAATACAGAACCCTACGAATTACCTAGGATTCATTTCAATGATATTGCTCTTACTGTAAAGAAATGTAGTAGGCGTCTGTTGACAAGTGATAGATTGAATATACACATGTATAAAAATGACAAACCCACAGAACAAAGAAAACACCAACAAAATCTTGGAAAGCAAAAGGCAAATAGAAGAGTGAGTGTGTAATTGCACCCAAGCAAGCTGAACTCTTAAGCAGATGAGGAGGGAAGCTAAGAAACAACCATCTGTTCCCCTAATGGCTTGGGGTTTGCACTGCGATGTCTCACTAAAAGTCCTTAGTCAAGGTCAAATGAACCAAAAAACTGGCTGCAAATCTTTTTAGAAAACAGACCACCAGATTTATCTTGAAATTTATATATCAGGATAACTGCCTTCACCTTGCAAAGAACAACAAAGGTTTGTCTCTCATCACAGCTCATCACAGCCACTGTGGCTCAAAGACCAGTATTGCCTGACAACAGAAAAGACCATGCCCCAAATGTGGGGTGGGGGTCACACTTATGGATGTGTGTGCAAATATATGTATATAGCTGTGTATATATATATATATATGTGTGTGTATGTGTGTGTGTGTGTGTGTGTGTACATACTCATATGTGTGTTGTATTTACATATATAACTCTTCAAATTGAAAATAACTGCAACTTTTTAGAAGCAAGAAGTCAAAGCTAAAATTAGCAAGGCTTTCAAATTCTAAAAGTGAGACATAGGAAACATATGTGAATAATAGGACTGCCAGCAAAGCATAGAAAACAGAGAAGAAATTAATATTTAAGAAAATTTCTGCTGGGCATGATACCCTGGAATCCATCCTAACTTGTCAGAAGGCTGAAATCTGAGGATACTAGTTCAAAGCCAGTTGAGTAGAGAAGCCTGTGAGACTCATCTCCAATTAACCAGCAAAAAGCTGGTTCAAGGAATAGAATGCCAGCCATGAGCAAAAATAGCCAAGTGAAAACATAAAGCCCTAGCGTTCAACCTTCCACACAAACAAATTCTCAGAAGAATATTCTGGATTAAAAGGTCTACAAACTACCAGTAAAATGGATAGAAGGAAACCTAATTTAAGACACTTCATCACAAATAATCAGAACACTGAATATTAAGAGATCCTAAAGGCTGCCAAAAAGCACCACCACATACAAAAGATAAAGAATAAAAACAGGTCAACCCTTCTCAGCAATAACAATAGAAGGCAGAAAATGGCAATGGAGTGCCTAATAAAAGCATTTCTTTCTTGAATTTTTATACCCAAGCCAACAGAAGACAATGTCAGGAGACCTTTCAATACCGTGCCTGGAGAAGAGGTGCTGCTGCCTAGAGGGGTCCCTATCTATGAGACATCTCACACTCTGTAAGAGTGAACTTACAGGCACCAGCCACACCCCCGTGTCCCAAAAGTCGTCTTTTATATTAACTTTAAAATAAACCCAAATGATAACAATTTATCCACACTTGTAGTGTTTTACCAATCAAGGTAACACTTTCATTTTTAAAAACCAAAACTTAAAATCAAAATTATTACCATTATGCTGAAATTCTGGATGTCTCAGAGACCCCTGAATGCGACAAGAAGGATGCCAATAGGACGGAGCCTGTGGTGGAGAAGGCAACTGTCCAGGGGTGTTTGCTGAATATTCGGGATTGTTGGAAACTGGAAGAGTTGCCTCAGCAAATTTGGGGTTAACGGCTTCCGAATCTTCCCGCAAAGGCAGGGGGTCAATTGTTTTGATACCAGCAGTGGGAGAAGTCAGTCGATATTTAGTATGATTTTCTTTCTAAATGACAAAAAAAGAGATACATATGTATAGGGAAGAAACCAAAGATCCAAATGTAAAACTACCACCAAGTAATGAGAGAAAATATGAGGAAATGCTACCTAGCCTCCATAGGGTGCAGGGCTTAATAAGTGTAAGTAAATCAATACACTTCGGATATATGAAAAAGTGAAAATACATCTTTCAATAACAAACATATGGGAAAATACACAATCTGTATAACAATGAATTATTGTCATGCTACTGAAGTATTTCTTTAAAAGTAATATGAAAAAGGCAAACCTAATTAAAAATAAGTAAATCATACACATACAAATACAGCAAAAATATGCTATACCATGAATATTCAAATACTATAAAAGTAAATCTTTCACTTAACAAACCATAACATTTAAAAAATAATAGCCAGAGCTGGCAAGGATGTATGAAAATTACCACTTTCCAAAGATTTCTTGGGATCACAGTTTTTCGGGGACTTGGGCAACCAGCAAAACCATGCAATGATACTTAGGATGGACACAGAAAGAGCTATGAACAAAAGTGTGGATAAGAATGGTTTTCTTGGGGGGCTGGGAAGTTGGCTCAGTGGTAGAGTGCTTGCCTTGCATGCCTGAGGCCCTGGGTTCGATTCCTCAGCACCACATAAGCAAAAAGAAAAAAGCCAG